GAATATACCTGATCCGGAGAAACAGTATCTCCCAAAGTTGGTGTTCACGCCCAAAGAAGAAACCAAGATCCGCTCCTACTGAAGATGACACAGCTGTAGATGGAACGGAACCAGCAAGGTGCGTCCTACACATTGGATCCTTCGCAAGAATCCTCTAAAAACACTGAACACTGAATCTATCTCAGTCTTTTCTGCAAGACTGATGTCAAGAACTAATTTCTTGACTCCCTATTGCTGCAAAGATCAGATCTTGCAAGAGGGAAATGGTGGCGGCTAGAGAAGAACTCCTGGGACGAAGATGGTTGAACGGCTTCTCTTCTCCCTGGAGTTTGTATGAAATCTAATCTCTGTTTTGCAGGATAATTTCTTGCACCACAAACCCTTGGTTCGAAATCTGATATATTTATCTTAGGGTTTCTCCTCTTTTTCTTCTTGATTAAGAAACCTCATGTTTTTGGAGTTATCCCAATCCAAATCAGTATTTGGATATGGGATTATCTTAATCCTATCTGCAGATTAAGTTAGCTTACTCCTGATCTTATCAGAAGGTTACCAGATTCAAATCTGTTTTGAATTTGGTCTCCCAGAGTGGATAAGGTTAAAGGTCCTATCCTTTTACTAACATTAATCTCAGATTCGCCCCATAGATGGGTGATCATATCAGCCCAGCTCGAAATGGGCTTTTGGCCCATTAAGTGTTCAGTGTTTAACTACTCTTCAATCTGCTGCCCAGTTGGGCTTCTTTGTATGGCGTGGGACCCAAGCATTGATCTACACACCAGCCACATGGGTTCGGCCCAGCCTTTATTACAAGGCCCAGCCAAATTCACTGAAAAACTCAGTAAACCCCTGAGCCCATCACATGGATCCTATGGGCCCAACACTTACATTAAGTGGTCTCTGGGCTAAACCATCTTATAAAAACCCAGGGACTGTGGACAGGTGCAAGATTAGCCCATCAGGTACTATAAATGGTCTTACACTTAACCTCTCAGCCCTTAATGATCAAGCACTGCCCGACAATAGAGGACCTCTCCCTCGGCTGCAAGGAACAGTGTCGCACAGAGCATGGAGTACATCAAATCGGATTGAAGCTAAGGGCATACAAAACTGTCTAATAGAGCATGGAGTACCTTTTTATAGCCAAAGATTTGTGTTCTGGTCGGATTGGGCTTCCGGGGTTGTCGGGAAGAAGTTAGCCATCGAGGTATTCGAGATAGAGTCCCATTCCCTAGCGGAGTTGTCTTCCTTACTCCTCTTTATCCATAGTTGTCATCATCGATGTAACGTGTAGTTGACGTGGCTGAGAGGATAAGATGGGGGGGACACAATAATAGCATAGCTCGGCCGAGTTATGTCGACGTGGTCGGGCGATGCTTGGCGGCCACATGTCTCTCAGGGCCAGCTCAGCCATGACCCAAATACCACTCCCCCAGTTTTGAAGTTGAGGAATGAAGTAGTTCATTTCGTTCTTCGGCTAAGGAACTCCAAGTTGAGAACTAGGCAATATGAAATGTGGCCAAAGAATCTTCCCATCGTCGGCTACAGAACTCTAAGAGCTCAAACATCGAAATCCGAGCACCACTCCCCCAGTTCTAGAGCCGAGGAGGGGGAGTGCTCGGTCTGAAGTGTTGCACGGTTGCGTAGCTCGGCAAA